GTTAAGAAGCTATAAGCCAAAACGTAAAAAAGCATACCCTACCCATCCGCCAGCCTAAGCTAATCACTCTACTACATCTTAATCTAGAATTCTCTCCTCTACCACAAGGTTAGAGGCCTGAAAGAGGTTCTAAAGACTTAGAAGAAGCACAAGAATAAGAGGAAAGTTCTGCCATTAGAGTCTTATTATGGTGGAGCAGAATTCTACTCTCCAAGCAGAGTAGACAGAGCACGCTCACTTGAGAGGGCAAAACAACAAGACTAGGAGGCAGAAGAACTCTAAAAGAGTGAGAGAGCTAAGACAAGGAGTGCTAATAAGGCATACAACGAGAAAATTGCTCAGGAGAAGCGTGAGAAGCGGGCAAGAGAGAAGAAAGAGCGTGACCAAGAGCGTGCTAAGGAGGCCGAAGAAGTAGCAAAACGCAAGGCTGCCAGAGAGGTCCAAAAACACGATAAAAACGCTGAGAAAAGTACCCAATTGCCTAATCAGGCTAAGCGGCAGGCCTCACGTCAATTGCAGCCAAAAAAAACAAAAAAGCGTAGTGGTGGAGGTAGTAGTAGTCATGCTATTGATGCGACGCGCTCCCTATCACCACCACCTGTATACAACTCCCGTGGCCGCAAAATTGCTCCACGTAAGAAGTTTGGGTAGCCAGAACAATTGCACATCTGTATAGATTTATCCACTACAAAATCTTGTGATAATAGCTATTCTGTGTAGCTCTACAGCCTCATGTTTGCAGGTGCTTGTTTTGGTGTTTCGGGGCATCACGCGAATCCAGGCATCACGCGCACGGACACGGTACCCACCTGGCAATTGCTGATTGGCTGCGCGACGGGTCCCTGCTTGATTGCGCAGATCCGACCTCTCGTCGCTCGCTCTATCTGGCACCAAGATAGGGTGCGTTGCAATAGTCTTACTACATTGGGAAAAGTTTTTCCATTGTCGAAATTAGGAAATTGTGGCATTATACTCTAGGCAATAGTAGGACTTATAGGCCTACAATAGTTATTTAATGTGCATTTAATGTCTAGCTAATTTTAAGCTAACAGCTCTAACAGTCCTAACAGCT